CCCCCCCCCAACCCCCCCCGCGCCACGAAATCTGCACTTCATCCCCGACACCCGCGCCTGCCACGAAATCAATATTTTAAGGTGAACTCCCCGGCGCAAAATTTTTCTAACCAAGCAAATGTGCCTCCTTTGTCTCTCTATCTACCTATCTATCTATGTATCTATCGATCCATTTATCTTTCTATCTTTCTATCTGTCTATCTGCAGTTCAACATCCACAAAGTACTACACCTGCCACGAAATCTGCACTTCAAGGTCCACAAAGTCTTGCGCCTGCCACCAACTCTACACTTCCACATCAGAAACTCCTGCGCCTGCCACGAAATCTGCACTCCAAGGCCGTCAAAGTCCTGCACCTGCCACCACCTCTGCACTTCCACATCCACACAGTCCTGCACCTGCCACGAAATCGGCACTCCAAGGCCCTTAAAGTCCTGCGCCTACCACTGGCCACCAACTCTGCACTTCAACATCCACAAAGTCCTGCACCTGCCACGAAATGTGCATTGCAAGGTCCACCAAGTACTGCACCTGCCACGAAACACTACGACTACCACTACGATACTGCTGCTAGTATAGTCCGGTTGCTACTCTTACTGCTACTGCTATTTGGAATATTATTTTTGATGCGTTAATTTTTTTGATGCGTGTGGAATATTTTTTTTGATGCGTTAATTCTTTTTTTTGATCTCTCACCCGTTGGCTGCGTGGTGCGATGCATGGGTTGTTGGAACAGGGACATCATAGTCGTTCACAAAGAGCCTCGCCCTCGCCAAAGGTCTGATCTACAAGCTTGGTTTATCTCAGGAACCCCAACAGAAGATCATGGAAAATCCTGGGTGATCATGGAAGATCCTGAGGTTCAGCCAGAATCTGGCACCCTAAACCACCTGGACCCGGGTTCACCCGGATTGTTAGTGGTGCAGGTTGTGAGAACAGTAAGAATCATGAGCAAGATTTCCTGTCCCTCATTTGGTCCCAGATGCATGAATGGTGGCCAGAAACGCAGACTGAACTGGTAATAAAACACATGCGACTCTGCCAAGCTGTGGAGGCTCAGTGGGGCGCCAGCGACGCGTTTACGCTCGCCCCTAAGAAAAGAGGTGTAAAGCTTCCGGTGTCGTGTCTTTAGCTTCTCGCGGGAGCAAGCGCTTCCCGTCGAACGAAGCTCGAATCGCTCTCTCGCCATGTCGATGGCCAGTGGGTCCGGTGGTGGGATGATGTCGGCGAATCAGCCGAAGCTGAAGAAGAGCCACATCGTGTGTACGATGAGACCCCTGCGACTCTGCATTGAAGAAAATTCTGGAGACATCTCCAGATGTATCAAGGACCGGCGAAGACAGAGAGCGAACTGAAGCGAACTGAAACGAAGACAGTTCTGAGAAAACTGAGTGGACAAACTCCCTAACAAAAAGGGCATAGGTATAGTGAAACTCAAACACAAAGTTTGTTAAAGAATGAATCCACTATTGATGGATATTACATATTTTTTTTCCGGTAGTGTATCGTGAATATTTGCATTCTTGAATATGTCTCATCAATGTTCACTTCTTTTCGTCTTTGGACGAACATGGTCGAGGAAGTCGAGGAATTCGAACGAACCTGTGACAAGCGCCTGGAGTATGTCCATGATCGAGATGGCCTGGATGACACACGAAGTGGGCTCTTCAGTGGCCAGAAGCAGCGCGCAAATTGAGCCAGGAAAAAGGGATCTGGCTGCCATACACGCACACGTGGCGCAGAAGGTGTTGAATGAAGTGTATGTTTTCACACATGCTATGACATGCTATGGGCTATTTGAACATTCAATCCGATATTTTGCATGTTGATACCGAAGTGAGACTTAGACAGTGACGGCATGTTCTATTTCTACAGCCTGTCTTGGAATTTGCAATAAAGGCCTGTGTTTCTGGCCTTTAGTGTGAGGTCCCAAACCTCTTCAATGCTGAAGACAAGACAGCCATTATGGAGGCGCCAAGATTCAAGCCTTTAGCAGTTTCTTAAGGTTCATGCATGTGGGTGTACTCCAAGAACTTCTAGCTAGCTCTCCGAAGCAACAGGTTTGTCTCTAAAGATCAAGAGTCGCAGGAATGAGGTTCCAATTTTTGGGTTGAATACCCTATGCCCTATGATTGACGCCTGAATTTTGAGAGAATTCATGCTGGTCTTCTCCAGATTTCTGCCACAAAACTGTAGGTCACTGCCTGATTTTTTCGAGCCTTGGAGTGCCCAGGGCTGTGGTGCTGCAGCCCAAGCAGCTGGCTGCAATGGTCCAGCAGAGGCCCCATGTGCGGTGGTCGCGGAGGTGTCAAGTCAACTTTGGAGGAATTAAGTGGATGCTTGGAACACTTGGAACAGCACTTACAGCAAAGTAACCTCAAAAAATCGATGGAACAGTGAAGAGATTCAATCCCTTCCAGACCCATTTTGGAATCGTTCTTGTTCTTTTTGAGGACCAGTCACATCGGTTTATGCTTGTGACGTCCTCCATTCAGTTTAGAAAGCTGAATCCTGGAAAGGTCCCACTGGACCAAGGTGATCGCCAGCCATAGCTGTGGGGCCCATTGAGTTTGGGGAAGTTCTTGCCACTTCCCAAGTCCCAAGTCTTCATCACTCACGAATTCGTCACCTCAACAAAAGTCGATCAGCCGATGGGCTCGTTCGCTCGGTTCGGCATTCGCATGCTCGCTCATGGGATCCCCCGCGATGGAAGGGACGGGACGGATGGACCTGGACCTGTCGGACTGAGCGGAGCCACCGATCCGATGTCCGATGTCTGCGTTGTCCTGCAGACCTTGGCGTTCTTCACCGAGCAATGTCGCAACAACCTGAGAGTGATTGAGAAGCGGGGAGGACCCATGGTTTTATTGAGAGAAAGACCCTCGTAGTTCTTCAGAGTCTCGAGAATGGTCAGGCTCTTGAAGCTACAAACAAGCCCAAAAAGCAGCAGACCTCTTTTCCTTTTGAGGCAAGAATCTTCATTTGATTCTGGCACTGTCCCCCATTGGGGAGGCGCGTTTGACTTCAGCTGTGTCAGTGATGGGTCAAGATGTGGTGACAACGGGAGGCCTTCAGGCGTCGTGTTCGCATGTTTCCAGCCATTGTGAACTGCTGCACCATCGCGGGGCCCTCGGGAGCGGTCAAGTGGTGAAGTGACCACGCGAAGCCAAACTTAATTCTAATTCTTGTTTCTACATTCGCTTCTTGTTACTACTAGTAAGGCACTTGTTACTAGTAGCGATGCACTTGTTCCTAGTAGCTTTTTTTAAAACCTGTTCATGTCTTTTTTTGGTCCGAGGACTGGTTCATGGAGTGGCCACAAGAAGCCTTGAGGAGCGTCGCGACGCACTTCCTGCAGAAGGCGACTTTCAATCCGGACCTCAACACGGAGAGTTTCTCTGAGGACCCAAAACCACTGGAAAGTCAGACCTCACTATGCAGAATAACAAGCAGCAGCAGGTTCTGACCTGCCCCTCTGGTTGCAGGTCGACCTGTCTGAAGATGTGTTCTCTGGAGTGGTGGAGCAAGGATCCCCAGTGCTTCCACGGAAGACAGCGTCAACTCCAACACTGGGGGTTGTCTTCTTTTAACGTGTCCAGTTTATCTCGGGCTGGGATGTTCGACTTAGGCGAAGAATATCTCGAAGCATACGCTACTACTTTAATCTTCACACAGCGCGAAGCATACCCCATAGTCAAACATCCCGGCCCGGGAACGTCAAACAATACAAACCCAGTGAAAGACCAGAGTCCTTCTTTGCTTTCTGGCTGTGCATTGTGCATAGTGACTATATAGTGTCTTGTGACTCAGCACCTTTGGCAAAAGACCTGCTCTAAGGAGTCCATAGAGTCTGTGAAGAGGGGTTTGTTTTTGACTCGTTCGACTGGGCGGCTTGGATGTTCCAAGAACCCAGAACGAGCTGGAGGGGTTGGGGGGGAACCGCAGTATCGATCTCTTTGGGGGAAGTTCGGAAGAACTTCAGAGTCATCCATGGGATCTCATGTTTCGTATGTTTGCACCGACGCACGCGCCCCGTGGACGGATGGTTTTCGCTTTTGAGTGCCGCATTCCGCCGCGTTCTGGGGCGTCACCGAGGATCTGCGTGCAAATGCAAGAGTCCGTCTTCGGGTTGACCGATCGCTTCCGCAGAGAGGTCAGGGACGAGAGGGGGACGCGATCGGTCAGATGTGCAACTCCAGACATGAAAAGTCTGTGATCATGAATCAGGCCTTATATGATTGTTTGATGTTCGCACCCCTATTGGAAAGTCGGAAAACAATCCTAAGAAGGCCAAACTCGAGGAGAGATTTTTGTAAAGGATGTTGTATTCTCTTCAAGGACGAACACATGATGAACCATGGGTACGACTGGCCTTGAACTTGCTTCCAAGGTTCAACGCCACTACTATGTCCCGCGCTTGGTGTTTCCTTTTTGCTCTTTTCTTTTCCCGGTTCCTGAATCTGAATTAGGTGAGAATCCATTCAGCGACCCACATCCAAGGTCTATCCTGAACTTCTAACCCACTTCTCACACCAACCTTCCATCCTCTCCAAGGTCACTCCCACCTCCTATTTGGAGCTCATCAACTCCTTCAAGGACGTCCGGACCGAAGAAACGACACCGGCGCCACACGCCTCTGCTCCCGGACGCCGCGCCGACCGCCGACGGCACCCCGAGGTCTTGGCTTCGAAGCGGGACGAGGTGTCTTCGGCCAAGCGGCGCTACGACGACGGGCTGGAGAAGGTGATCTCCACGGAGGAACAGGCCGCGTTTGTGAGGTTTTTTCGCGTATTTTCTTCCTTTTATCTTAGAGTGGTGATTACTGTCTATGTGTTGTACTTATTTTGAGGGGTGTTGGAATTGTTCGTGCGTTGGCTTGAAAAGTGCCATATGTTCATTTCTTAAGCAGATCCATATATGGCTTAAATTATTCGATGTTCGATGGGAAGCGTGGCGATCTGGAAGAGTTGGGAAGAGTGGCGATGTTCACAGGTCAAAACCATGTCCATTCAACTTGAAGAGTTGCGGCCTGTCTGGTGCCCTAGACCAGATTCTTCTTCTACCTTTCAAATTCGAGAGACGAAAGCCATTCCAAAGCCATTCAGAAAGTTTGCGTAAGCCCCTTTGCGTAAGCCCCTTTGAAGAATAAGCTTTCGCATTTCAGCCATGAGTGATCACAAAGGAATCTATCAAAGTTTTCAGACACACTCATTTGTCTTGCAGCTGAATCTTGTCCTTCAACGTGTGATGTCATTCCTTGTAAAGCTCGTGCGTGCCCGTGATGGTAGAGCTCGACGATGACGTGAAAAAAAATTTGGGAAGAGTTTTTGGACATGATTTTGATTCAGGTCTTGAAGCAGACTTCTGCGGAGACGGCTGAGTTGATGACGGTCATAGAGCACAAACAGGAGGAGGCAGGTTGACCAACGGCCCTTCCAAACCGACAGAAGCTTGGAGGAGCAGGGTGAACATGAGTCCAACATGCTAAGAAAAGCAGAAAGAAAGAACAGTATGTTAATGTCACCTCCTTTTTTGCATGGCCAGTCCGTTTGGTTCTTCACATGGCCCGTTTCAAGGCCTCAGCGACGCAAGCCATGGTGGCCAAGGAGGAGGAAGCCGCCTCGCAGCAGGCGACCCGGGATCGCGAGTTCTCGGACCAAACCCACGAAGTTCGATGGGACGCGGCTGTAAGCGGCTGTTCGCTACACACGCGAAAGAACAATGAAAATGGAAGTGAATGGCATGGCTCCGAAAGGATGATAGCTGGCTTTCCACTGAGAAGATGAGGATTTCAGGGAGTGTAGCGAGGCCACGCGCCACTGGTCAGACATCTTCGTCACTTGAGTTGAGCTTTCGCGCGTTCGACGTTCGACTCCTTTTGTGTGTTGTGATGCTTGGAACTGGAAGGCAGAGGCAGCTCGCACCATGAAAGAGGAGTGCCAGGCGGATTTGGACAAGGTGGGAGCGAGACTGGTTCTGCGATTCACTGAATTGATGATACCACAGAGATTTTATGGACAAGACCTTGCAACATCACAGCATTTCAAGCTCATTGGCATCTATTCGGCACATGTGGTGCTGGAATCTTAAACAGCTTTGTTTGCTTCTGAGGCATTGCCAGCTCTAAATGCCGCCCTGGATGCATTGAAGAGCTTGAAGAAGAGTGACCCGCCTGAAGAAGAGTTCTTTCTGGGGTCGGCAACTATCTGCCAGATCCGAAAATAGACGGGTCTCAGAGTCCATGGAGCCAAGCGCATTTCGTCGGTTTTCAGGACAACAGCATTTCATGTACTAGATGCGATGCAGTTACATGTTCCCCATGTCCAGATCCATCGATAAATAGATCCCCAAGAGCGCCCCGACGTTCGAGCTGCTGATTCAACTGATTCAACTCGCAAATGTTGCTGCAGGTGACATTGTGGAGGCGCACCCGAGAGTTGGGGAGAGCTGTTTGTCGTTGATAGTTCTAGGTGGCACAATGTGGCACATGGTGGCACTGACCCTGAACTTGTGCAATGGCGCCCATTCTCCAAAAGCTTGCTCGACGAAGCTGGATTGCCAGGTGAAGAATATGAAGTCCCCTCCTGAAGGAGTCATTACAGTCTCCAAGGCCCTCTGTTGGATGCATCTTGGACCAATATCGATGCTTTTCCTTTCCCGCATCGGTTTTCCAACCAGTTGCCGAGACCGTATCCAGTGGAATCTGGGATGGAGGGAATCTCATGGAAAAGAACACCTCCAAAACCAGTTCTTTTTGACAGGTTGACTCCACCGACGACCGAGGTTTGATGTGAAACCAAAGAAAGTCACCGCAGAGGATGGCAGGACCAAGGCTCAAGCGCTCAAACTGCACGCGATGACCATTCTTCTCAGAAAATGCATACGCCACACGTGCGTGTGTGGCGTGACGTGCGACTGATACGTAGTATGCACATTGTTTTCCACAATGCATCATGGCAGATCGATGACTATTGGGAGCCATCCAAGAAGAGCTTGTGGGGTGTCAGGGCCTCGGCTTTTGTAGACGCAAAACCCCGGCAAACGGGGTGGAACATGAACGCACAGGCCTGGCATACTTACTGCATCTTGCTGCCGAACGTAGCTGTTTTCGCTCAGCTGAGGACTCAAAGATGCTGGATCGCTTACTGGGTAGGGAGCTTGATCTCTTTGTCTGCAAAAAGAGAAGCAGCATGAGACAGATGAATGTGACGCAGAGGAATGATGAGGAATGTGTCAGATCAGATGAGTGCTGTAGTGGTGGCTGAGGCTATGACAAAGACCACATCCCGGTCTCTTGGCTGGACACATTGAACGGTTTGGATATCGACTTGCGGTTTCACATACTGCAAGCACCCAACAAACGAAAAAAACGGCAGTCTCAGCGGGACGGTCCCGTCTTCGTCTCAGCAGGCGAAGTCGAGGTCGTTGACTTCTTGGGACGCACTGGAGCGGAGCGGAGCGGTTCCGCGCAGGTGGAAGTGATCGAGAAGCTAAAGCCATTGGAGGAAGATCCTGAGTTTGATCCGGAGGCCTGACTCAGACGTCTGAGTCCTGTTTTTCTTTGTTTTTCTTTTTCATTCGCGCACCCGAAAAAGAACGTTGAATGGGAACATCAAATGGGTTGAGCTCAGAAACCCCCAGCAGCTGGCCTGGCCTGGCCAATTCTTGATGTCTTCGTCGTGCTTTCGGATCACGACCCATCGACCAACCGGGTGATCGCCGTGCGCGTACGCGGTACGCGGTACGCCTGCGAGGTGATTCGAAAGGCATCCACTGCAGCGATGGGAATCTGCAAGTGGGCCGGTGCCCTCAGGAATTTTCAGGAGGTATTTCACCAAATCAGAGCCTGTTTTGTGGTTTCCTGGAGCACCATTACCAGAAATTGAAGCAATCCACTAGCGGGGTTCCGGATGTCTACCGAATTTGTATCTCTTGTTTTCAACTCAACGACGGGCACGAGGTTGAAAATTGTTGAGATGACTCTATACTATTACTTCCTACTGTATACCATAGGCTTGTATTGGGTGTTTCCCTCCTTAGAGACACACCCACTGCAGAGCACCTGCTTCAAGGTGAGGGCCATGATCGTCTACGACGGTGTGGCAAAAGTCGTTGGCCCGAAGAAGGAGGCCAGAAGTCGTTAGCCAGGCAGCGTCAGGTTGCCAATGCACACTCATATGCATGACTTGATTCCAGTTCTTTTCTCTTGGGATGAACAACTTCACTTGGGGAGAACCCATGTGATAGCTGCTAGAGTTGCGCCCCGGCCAGGCTCTAGCGGGGGCTGAGCAGGAGCTGGCCAAGGCACCGGCTGCAGTCACTTGCCACACGCAAAAGAGGCAGATTGTTTGCCAGCTTGAACAACGGATTTGTGCCACTGTTTGCAGGTCATGAGCATTCTTGCAGAGAAGAAAGCCGAGCTGAAGGCTGTTCAGGACAACGGGAGAGAGTTTGAAGATCCAAGCAAATAACCAATTGAGAAGATGCAGCAGACGAGGTGAGTGTTCTAGTTTCCCCGACCCCACGTGAACCGAAAGCACATGGGGGTGTCCTTGACCAGCCATGTGTTGGACGTTTCAGTCCGATCTGTTTTCTTTTGAGGACAATGTCGCACAGCTCCTGGCTGACTTTGAGTCTGCAAGGAAAAAGAAGGATGACTTGGCAGTGCAGGCCAGCTTGCCCAGGGTGCGGGGTGGCTATAGCTCATGGCTTTGGCTCTAAGATCTTCGAAGCTGGTTCGCGAGCGTTGTTTTGCTAAGGGGTATCCTTTCGCGACCCCGCAGGAAAAAAGGTAAAAAACGTCAATTTTCGATTTTTACCGTTTTTACCGCGGATATGGTAGAAGAAAAAGGAGCGCCCCCCCGGAAAAAACGGTTAAAAAACAATCGATTTTTACCGTTTTTACCGCGGATATGGTAGAGAAAAGGGGCGCCCCCCGGTAGAAACGGTAAAAAACGAAACTTTTTGATTTTTACCGTTTTTACCGCGGATATGAAATTTAAACATCGAGCGCCCCCCAGTAATTATTATCATTTTTGTTTTTTTGACCGTTTTTGCCACGGAGATGGTAGAAAAGAAAAGGACAAGTCCACCTACAAAAACGGAAAATAACACAACTTTGATCAACTTTGATTTTTAGCGATATGGTAGAAGCAAAAAGAGCAAGCGACTCTTCATTAAACAAGGTAAACAGTAATTTTCACTTGGACCGTTTTTACCGCGAGAATGCCTCGGGACCAGGTCGCAAGCTAGAAGACCTCTGTCAACAAAAAGGTTTGATGTTACAGCCCGGGTATCTTCCTATACAGTAATCAGGTGGGGTTCACTCCTCCTATCATATAGGAGCGTGTGCCCTTTTCGACAAGAGGAGTTTGGTGATTGATCAACATTTCATGACTTTTAACTTTTGCAGGGCAATGAAAGCCTACATCACTTGGATCGAACACTTTCGATTTTTACCTACCGCGGATATGGCAGAAGAAACAGCGGTGACCCTCCGTTAAAAACTGAAAAAACACAGACCCGTTTGCCCCCTCGATCAAAACGGTACAAAAAGAACAACACATAATTTTACCGTTTTGATCGCAGATATGGTATGTATTGAAAAAGGAAGTGCCCCCCGGTAAATACGGTAAAAAAGAATCGATTTTTGACGTTTTTACCGCGGATATGGTAAAAGAAAAAGGAGCGCCCCCCCGGTAAAAACGGTAAACACATTTCTTTTTTGATTTTTACCGTTTTTACCGCGGATATGGTAGAAGAAAAAAGGAGCCCCCCCTGTGGTAAAAATGATAAAACAAAACACAATTTTTGATTTTTACCGTTTTTACCGCGGATATGCTAGAAAAAAAGGGGCGCCCCCCCGGTAAACACGGTAAAAAAAGAACATTTTCGATTTTTATCGTTTTTACCGCAGATATGGTAGACGAAAAAGGGGTGCCCCCGGGGAAAACGGCAAGAAAGTAATTTTTTCAATTTTTACCGTTTTTACCGTGCAGATGCCTCGGATTAACCCCGTAACCCCGGCAACTACGCTAAACCAGCACAGAAGATCTTTAAGAATCATGAAGAATCTTGGTATTTCAAAAACCCATACATGAAGAGGTCCTACAAATCCAATTGAGGTTCTTTCATGACTCAAGAGTCTACATCAATAATTGGAGGTCTTGCACTGGGGCTTTTTTCGACCTGCTCCCTTTTCGATGGGACGACTCTGAAAACCGCTCCGTGACACTGAATCACTGAATCAACGTGACACTGACGATGGAAAGAGCACGTCTCTTGAGCAAGTCATCTCTCGCAGTAGCAAGTCTCTTCTTCTTTAGCTTGCACTTGGGACTTCCATCCGAACATGCAACCAGCAACCAGCACAACCTCCACAAGAATCACAGCAACAGTGGCCCCGTATGGGACCTTCCGCCGCCTTTGGTGTCACTTCCGTCGCCAGAAACGGTTTTCAGCTCCCACCCGGCGTGTGTTCGGGCAGTTCCCACCGTAAAAGGGAGGTGTTACGGGGGTTGGCAGACGGTCTGGGAAGAAAACACCTATTTTGGGGACCAAGAGCTCTCTCCCAGCCGATGCGTGTGCTCCAAACTGGCAAAGAGCGATGACATGCCCACAGACCTGCATAAAGAGCTCGAGAGGTGATCGTTGTTTTTAGAACGTCCACTCTGAAGCACACGACATGTTCAACGTCCGACAGAAGAAAGTAGCTAAGTAGCTCCTTTATGTATAAATTGTGGCTCTCTTCCCTGGCGGCAGCGTCTGCTTCGATCGCTCCAAAACCAAAAAGAACATCAAAAGAACACTTCTGGAGCATCCTTCTCCACTTCTGGACCTCCTCTCCGCTCCGCTCCTACGACCGCTCTGACCACGGCTTCCTCCGCTCCTTCCTTCGGCTTCCGCGAGCTGCGCGGTCGACCGCGTGAGGTGGATGACTGCAGCAAGCGACTGGTGCGGGCGGAGAAGCTCATCAGTGGCCTGGGAGGCGACCGGACGGCCCGGTGACGACGGCCTGGCGGTGAATCCAACGACACTTCCCCCGGGTCTCTGGCGGTTTGGGACGTGGAATGGGACGTATTGTCAGGGGGTTCCTGAAGTGTGGCACACCCCATGTTGGAGCAGAATGAATACATCTTCGAGTTTTTTGTAGTCCTTGGATTTCTTCGTTCGAAGTTTGATCGAAGTCCTCTTTTTTGGTAACATTTTTGAGTCGACCAGTTTTTCAGCATGTGCCAGGTGAGAAAACGCGATGGATGGACTCCTCCAAGCGACTGGGAGAACAGTATACCAATCTGACAGGAGATGCAGCGGTCCCAGATGATGTTCTCCTTCTCAACGCTTTGTTTCTGTCTTTTTTGTCGCATTGAACCATAGCGGCTCCGCTGTTTTTTTTGCGTGAAACATGGGCCAGTGTTGAAAGATGTTGAAAGGCCAGATGGATGATTTTTGGGATTTGAACGAGGGATTTTGATGCTTTATGATGCTTTCATTTTTTTGAAAGCGAGAACTTATGAACATTGGGACTGTGACAGATTCAACTTTCTGTTCGCGCAACATCTTGGCTCACCGAGCTGTTTTCCCCACACCCCCACTATCCTGCGTGTCCTGTTGAAACGGGACACCCAGGGGGTGCTGTTTGGGGGTGCTGCAGCGCAATGCAACATGAAGGAAGCAATGACTTAGCTTCCGCTGTGCGGAATGCTGCCAGTGAAATGTCCGCCTACAGCTCCTCACGCCCATCTCGTTCCTCGAGTGAAGCCTGCCTCTCAAAACGACACAAACGCCGCTCCCGACGGCAAGTGCAAGAAGAGGGCTTTACACTCGAGCAGCAACAAAAGGCAGTGCAAGACGCCGCCTTTGAACGCTACATCGAGTCACTCCGGAAAGATGCCCGAAAAGCTGTGACCGAGGCTAGGGTCTGGCAGGAGACAGTGAAAGGTGGCATGGATGAAGAACAGACTGAGAGGCAACACAAGCGGAATTTGTGTCAGAAGAATCAAGCCCAGCTTCTTTCACAGATCGAAAACAACAAGGCCAGACGAGCAGAATCTCGAAGAGAATTCATCGAGGCTGCATCGTCACACTCGTTCCCTTTGTTCACCGAAACCTTCATCTCACTTCCAGAAGTGGAAGAGTATGAGAGGAAGCGCAAGGAGCATTGGAGGAAGGAGCTTGACAATCAGATGGCCACCAATCAGATTCTTCACAACTTGGAGCTCAAGAAGCACCATGACATGGCCATTGCCTCCTACAAAGAGAACGTGGAAAGAACCACCAAGGCACGTAGAGATGAGAGAGACCGCTTAGCTTACCAGGGTAGAGAGCTCGTGGCTTCATGGGAGAGAGATATCCGACTCAAAGACCTGAAGCGTGCCATGGAAGTTGGCAAAGATGTGGTGAAGGAGATTGATAGCCCAAGTCTGAACGTGCGCAAGGCCTAGTGAGGCCTTCCTGAGGCCTAGTGCTCAGGATCCTCGGATCGAGCCGACCAAATGGCCGGGTCCATCCGACTCCTCCGCGAATCAGACGCATTCGTTTCACCCGAAGGTTTCACGGAGGATGAGAGAACTGACCTGGCGTTGGTGAGAGTCAGAAATGGATCAGGCAGGTCAGCAGAGACAAACGAAACTCAATGACGCTCACTTAGGTGACGACCACTATATAAGCATACCCAGCCACTCATCTTCGCATCGACCGGGAGTGCCTCTGACACTTGTGACGCACCAATGAAGCCTTCCTGCTCTCCACTCTCCACTCTCCATCGCTCTCCACCGCGTTACGAGCGCCCAACGCGCGAAACCACGACGCGAGGTGCTCATTGGTTCCGGGATCATCGCCTACCTGGGCACCTTCACCGGTCGCTATCGCGTGGACACCGTACGGAGCTGGGCCCGGGCGGCCCAGCGAGTTTTGGGTCCGGAGGTTTGTTTTGGTTTCACGAAGACTTTCCACAAAGGTCTGGGCCGGTGCGCGGCAGTTTCTCCTTTTTTTTGGACCAAACTATAGATAAACCTAAAGGACATCCTGTGACAGTGAGTGGACCTGTGACAGTGAGTGGACCTTTTCACTGGATGTCGGGGCTTCTGCAAATCATCCGCGCGAACCTGCGAGAGGCGCGGGGTTCGCATGCTGAGGTTCAGCTGATGAAGGACAATCAATTGCCTTCAGCACAGGAGTTCTCCTTGCGCTCGGTCCTGGGAGACGAGGCGAGAGCCGAGAACGGCTAACAGAGGAGAACGGCTGGTGACGAGTCGAGGTCGCAGTCGTTTGTTGGGTGTCGGTGGGTTTCCGTGGGTTTCAGGGTTTAGATAGAAGTTAGATGAACTTACACCCTGGAAGACTAACATGGACCCTGGAAACCACTGGTTGGTAGAGGAAAACACTCTTCCAGGGGGCCATAGTCAGGGTCTATGTTAGTTTTCGGGAGTGCAGACATTGCTGAACCTGACCTGATGGAGACCTGACCTGTCAAGTCTCCTGAATTTAGACATTTAGACTTGACACCTGACCTGAACTGGTTGAGCTGAGCAGCTGTTTGCCAGTTAGACCGTGAAGCAGCGTGAAGCGCTTGACCGTGACCAGGTGCAAATTCGCCAGTGGGTCATCGACAAGCTTCCCAATGATCAGGCGTGTTGTGTGGTTTGCCAAGACAAGCCAAGACCAAAAGAACACTGATTGTAGTCTGATTTTCAACATCCTGTATCATCCTGTTGTATCCCCATGCACCAGTTGCACCACATTCATAGCTTTCATTTATAGTCCAAGAACTTTTGATCAGCGCCGTCCGCAGGTTTCGGTGGAAAATGCCATCATCATCCAGAGGCCCGTCTTCGCTCCGCGCCCGATGGCCTCTTCCTACGTCTTCGCTCCGTCTTCGCTGCGCTCTTTCGATGCTCGCGTGACCACGCCTCCCTTCCGCGCGTGGCCACGCGGCGCCTCCCACGTCCGCAAGACGGACAGGTCGAGGAGATGGCCCTTGATGATCGACCCACAGCTACAGGTGCCCAGTGGGGGCGGTTTGGGGCTGATGGTTGGTGGGAACACGTGTCGGCGTTTTGCGGTCTGAAGGGAGTCATGTGTGGCTTATAACTTATGATGAAAGAAAGTGTCTGCATGAGGTGATTAAGACAGGTCGTTTTCGGTTGTCTTCCCGTACCGTCTTTCATCAGTCGGCTGTTTCTTTTTGTGTTTTGCATCGGTTTGCTTTTGCGAAGTCGGTGGCACCGGTGGGGCCGTGCGGAGGCCAATCAGTGGATACGGAAGGCTTGCTCAGGCCGACCCGAGTCTCCCGCCGGTTTCTGCCGGTTTCGCGGGTTGCGAAACAGAAAGAGAGAGACGAACTTTGTTTTGAAACGTGAGTCTCCTGAAAAGAGGGTACTTGGTGTTTCTATCGAATTCATATATGTGTTTTGAGAGAGATGGGCTTTCAGAGCTGTGTGACCGAGTTTGGCAGTGACCTGTGCACATTCATTTCTGAAGACATCTGAACGAGTTGCCGCAGAACAACGTGCGGACTGCAATAATGACTGCCTTGGAACACATAGACACCACGCAGCCGTCATTGGGTGAGGCAGAGGGGAGCAACTGCGCATCCTACGGTTGACACAAAACTATGCTCGTGAACTTGAAGGCGTTTGTCTGCACAGATGGTCAAATCATGACCATTGTATATTGGGTCTGTCCTATTACCTGTAAAGGCCTTTACTAACCATCATCACCCACTGTTAATGGGATTGATAGACACAAATTGCATAGATAGTTAGTTGGAAGCATTGTTATGTTATTTTTCCTTGTCAGACGCATGAGTGCTTGAGACACGTGCAGCAATCCTTCGTCCAGATGGACGGCAAGACGTATCGAACGTGCGTCCTTCTCCGGAGCGAGCTGAAAGACGCTTGCCAGGTGCGATTGCCTATGGAAAGCCATGTTTGCTCGAGAATGTCCGGGATTCTCAGAGCCGTTGGCGGCACCACGTCTGCCGAAAGGTCAAGTGCGGACGTGGAACGACGACGAAGCAGACGTCGAATGGAACAGGGATTCGCAGATGTGCTCGACTTCATGTCGGCCTGAGAACATCTACCGTATACCCTATCTACTCTGTACGGCATTGAACCGTCCACATGTCCTCCTTCCGACGTTTCAGCCGGGCATCGGCGGAGGTCTTGGAGCAATTAGACCCTCTCCTGGAGCCACTTCTGCAGAAGGCCCTGACCGGGCCCTCGGGCCTTCGTGGCTGCCTTCGCCCGCGCACGCGTGGCGCTCACGCGCGGTGCTGGGTTTCATTGGCCAGGCCATCTTCAAAGCTGGCAGTGTGGTTCGGGATGCTCAGTGATGAGTGGAGCAGACTTGATAGGACATGATTGTGGTCAAGGCCTCGATACGTCAAGTACTGATTGATAAATATCAAAGGCCAGAGTCGAAGAGTGCCAGTGAGGGCAGGTTTTTAAAGATGCAGAATGCAGCATGCAGGCCATGAGTAGGATCCTGTTCTTTCTCGATAGCACACAGTGGTTGGGCCAACCTATAAAATGAAGGAAAGGCACGATTTGCCCGCTTTGCCACTGCTTTGCCTGCGGACGGGGGTAAGCAGCTCAAACATCCCATGCATGGATGGCCTTTGTTCATCTCCCTTGCTCAAGACTCTATCTCTTCATATTGGTGTGGTTGTACGGTCGAATTCCTGACAGCACTGCGATGAAGATATGCGCAGTCATCTTTCCCCACGTTGCCACCCCTGCTGTTTACTGTTGGTTCTGCCGCTCAGATGATGATTCGCCTGGGCGACTCTCAATGTGAGTACAACAAGGCGAATCTGGTGCTTCTTTGCATTGCTTTGAATTGGAAGTGAAATGCTGTTCTCCCCAAAAAAACTGAGGGGTTACTTTCTTTAAGTGATCATAGGGTAGGGGGATATAGCATAGATAATCTTTTTAAAAGCATTGTTGTATGTCCAGGTTGGAACATGTTGGAACCTGCTCTAAGCTCACAAGATTTGACATTGTCATAAGCTTTTCAACCACAGGATACACAACATTTAAGCTTTTGACTGGAGAACACATCTAGCAGCCAGCCAATAATTGAAGCTAAATATCAACAGGCCAAATGTTAATTTACTCAGCCTTGTGCCCTCAGATAATTGCATGAGAGCGGTGCGCCATACGCATAGACATGTCATGTGATGTCTCCCAGGATTTCCGTTTCTACATCACGACGAAGTTGCCAAATCCGCACTATTCACCAGAGGTTTGCGTGCAGGCAGGGCAAAGACTGATTACATGTCTCTGCAAAGACTTAACATAACGCATGAGAAGCAAATGCCATATATTCCCTTTCACTATTGCTTGGTTGATTTATGGGATGGGACCATACCGGGATGCCCCAATAGGGTCTATGGTCCCTTGGCATTGACCCTCTTTAAAAACCCCCAAAAGGTCGATGCCGTGGCATCGACCCGACCCCTGAGGTGACCTTGCTGAACTTCATGGCCACACCAGATGGACTTCAAGACCAAATGCTGGGCATTCTCGTGGCCAAAGAGGCGGTTGGCTCTCGTGCTTTGTTTCTGTTTCTTTTGGGGTTCGAAATAGGCGAAGTGAAGATTTGGTGCACGCCAAGTGACTTGGGGAAGTGACTTGGGGGGAAGTGGTGGATCATAGGAGATCTGATCACTGCATCAGCATCTGTCAGGAGCATGTTTGCACAATCAAGGAATGCTGGCTTTCTGGCTCACAAGCACACAGCTCCTGCAATTTGATTTCCAACCAATGTCAGGAGCCAGAAGTGGAGCGGAAGCGGCAGAATCTGATTGTGGAGAGTGTTCGGAAGCCCAAGTAACCGATGGAGCAACTGCTGAGCGTTTCATTGAGCTGAGGAGTCCTGATGTGTTTTGAGGTAGCTTTCTTCTTTTTTTTTCTCTCTCCCTCTCTCTCTCTCCCTCTGTAGATCACATGTGTCTGTATACGCATACAAGTACATACAATTTGTACGTATATGTATGTTGATTATTGAAGCACAGAGAAGTCTTGGCAGACTGTAATATTTGCGTGCACATTCGACTTGAGGCCCAGAGCAAAGCTCAGTTAAAGGAGATAGAGGACTGGCAAACTGAACTCTACTCCCTGCATGCCTGTCATGCAGAGAGTCTGTCCCGAGTCATCCTGAGTCCGTTGAGGATCTGTGTCTTTAGCATAGAGACTGAACAGCACCACAACCTGTTAAAGCAGAGCCGAACTTGGCCAGAACACGCGTGTCGCGGTGTCGCGTGTTGGATCAGGTGGGCCTAGGCGGAAAGCTCCCTTCACTTGACCCGTCCATCTGGCCCGAACGTGAGCCTTTCGTTTTTTTCTTGGCAGCTTCTCCTGGACCCAGTCTGCCAGGACCGTATCTTGCAGCTTCTCTCGGAGTCGAAGGGCAACATCCTCGATGACGAGGTGCACCCGAAGTACGAGGGGACCGACGTGAGCGGTCGGTCCCGACGTTCTTCCACCGAGAGACTGGCCACCGACCGCTCCAAGACGTGACATACAGGAACTCATCAATACCCTTGCCACTTCCAAGACGGTGAGGGGCCCCAGCCGTGACGAAATAGCAGAGCGTATTGCGTGTGGCGCATCGCGTGTGGCGCATCGCGCGTGGCGCATCGCGCGTGGCGTTGCAGTTCTTTCGTGTGGAGTGATGGGGTGTCGCCAGGTCTGTTGGTGGAACGGAAGAAGGATGCAAAAGGGCGTAATTATGGCATGTCATCTCTTAGCAAGGTGTTCTTTAGATTTGTTGCAAGGCGC